GAGTAATACAATCAGTACTAGAATGCATTCGCAATTTTATGTTTGGGAAAATGTTTATGCGAGCAAGCAAGGGATGAGAAGATGGACTGGACGTCATATCAGTTGGGCGCTATAGGCACTCTGAATTTCACGATTTGGACAACGTGGGCTTTTCAATTAACGATTCATTCGAGGTACCTGAAAACAAAGGAACTCCTACGAGGAACAAAGGAAGCCATACAAAAGTCAAAACTCGTCGACCAAGAACGATTTGAAACAAATCGTAAATCCAAAAGAGTTTGATGGATACCGGTTCTTGAGTGTGAATCCTGGGTATACGGGTGGAGATGCACGTGTCAGTCCTAGCGGGGGTCTTTTAGATGGTGTCAAGAGTGGTGAGGAGGAGGAGGGAAAGGAGATGAAAAAGACCATGTTTACGACTTCGAGGGACTTTCTCACATTTGGACATGGAAGAAATGCCTGGTGGGTCTATTACTTTACATTAATTTCCCTTTTCTAATGTGTTTTGTCGGATAGTCCTGGAAGATTCTTTGCTGCCCTCGGGTTGAAAGCGGTCCTTGCGACGTTGGTGCTTGATTACGATGTAAAATCGGTGGCCAAAGAGAGTGGGAGTGGATATGAGCCGAAGGATATCTGGTTTGGCGAGAACCTCTTGCCAGATATGAAGGCTCGTGTCTGGATTCGGAGGCGGCGACATGAGGACCAACTATGCTAGTGATGAAACCAAGAGTGGGTAGTTATGTTTATGGCAAGAGAATATAAACACACCTTGTCACGGAATGCTCACGAGCAAGTGAGGGCTGGTAGAAAGGAGCGTATGTTTACGTAAGCATTCCTGCCCCTGACCACGTCAGAAATTCGACAATCAATCTGCGTCATAGGCATTTTTCACTCACAATTTCCTGCCCATTTTCTCCAAGAATCACCTTTCGTGGTTGTCCAGTGTTATGGAAGACCCTATTGCGAAGGGTCGCATCGCTTCCTTCGGGGGGGCTTCGGTGTCGACACGCCGTCGCGTCCCGCAACAACGGCAATTCAAAACGAAAAATATCTGATTGGTCTTTGATTGTTTGCAGGGTTTAGGCCCAGCAAGGTTCCAACTTGGAGCCCCGCGGAATCCCACGTACTCTTGGAATCCCCTAGTGCCGTCAGGATGGCTTCAGCTTTTACGACGAGGATATTGGAGCTCAGAAATTGGTCTAGAGGCTCGTTGGATGGACCGTATCTTTGGCAGGGAGCCCTTGGCGTTGGCCTTCTTATCTGGCTTTGGAACTATCAACGGAACAAGGTAAGCACAACGCCACCACTCCACTATATCTCCGATAACTATTCACTGTATGGATAATATGTTGATGACATACAGGTCGACCTGCCAAAATACGGAGGAATTCTGTCCTTCTCGAGTATCCTGTCAAAGATTCGACTTAGCATCGAGGGATTCGGACCATACCAGGATGCTTATAACAATGTAAGTAGCTCAAATTTTCTCTTGGTCATTGTCAAATGCTACTGCTGGAACTCGTGTGTCGTTCTATTTTTGGTCAATAGCGCACTCAACTATTGTTCTCCACAGTATCCAATGCTCCAAATACCAGAGCTAGATGGATGGAAAATCATTGTACAAAAACAATTCTTCGACGAGGTCTTGCGCGCTCCTGAAGAGATTCTAAACTTTCACGAAGCTACGTTCGAAGTGAGCTTCCTCACCTTAGGGGTATTACACTGCTAATTCGTATACACAGAACCTCCAAATACGCGCCAACTTTGGTTCGGCGATCGCGGACAACATGTATCATCACATTGCAATTCGTAGCCACGTGGGTATCATATGGCCTACAAGTTCTTGCAACCTAAACTATCTCTACAGCTCACTCGCA